TATAAACAAACAAACAAATAAATAAACAAACTGTAATGATAGCATACCAAGGAATTTTTTCATGTAACTTGTAAGGAGTTAAAATAACTGTGTCATTTATCTATCTATCCATTCATCCATCTATTCATCCATCTACCTACCTACCTATCTGTTCCCTAGTCTTCCAACTTTCACATATGCCTATTGATGGAAGATCTCTCAGTGACTGCACTTTTAAAATAAAAACTGGGTTCAAAGTTGATGTTGACCACATGGATGGCACTGGAAGGCATCATGCTCAGCGAAATAAGCCAGAAAGAAAAAGAAAAATACCGGATGGTCTCACTCATAGCAGGAATCTAGAAAACTTAAATAAGGGGCCAGGAAAATGAATAACTATAAGAAAGTAAAAATCAAAATCAACAAAAAACTATGAACCAGAGACACTCTGAGGGGGGGGGCAGGGAGGTGAGGGATTGGGGTCAAAATTAGGTTGTTGCAATTGTATGGGGAATATAAAAATAAAATTTATTTTAAAAAAAAGTTGATGTTGACTATTTCATTCTAGTACAAAGTATTACTCATCTGATTATACATAAATAAATAGAAAGAAAGCACCACTATTTTACAATTGGATGCATTTATATTCAAAACCCCAAAAAAGATTATTTATTGTTCATGTTTGATAATATATTTATGTAGTTTTAACCAATTTTATCCATGTATTGCAATGTCTTTATTGTGAATGTTGTTAAACATTTATAGCTTGATGTCCACAGAGATTTTGCAATAATAATTCTAAAATATCTTCATGTTTTGTTGCAGAAGATTATGACAGAACAACTAACAATAGACTTTGAAACATAAAAATGTATTATATTAAGATCTAATTTTACATAGAGGATGGAATACAAACTTAAACTGGTGGGATAAATTTTAAAGAGGAAAAATGATGGCTATAGAAGAGCTTCTTTGCCTATTTACTAAATGGATTGTCATTAACAAATTTCAATTCAGATTGAATTGAAAAATTAAATTATAAGCTTTTACATGCTCCATGTCAATTTTGATAAACACCAATGTTCATACTTGTTTGTGATATAAATTTAAAATGACATATTTTATTTCTTAATTTTAAATTGTTAGGAAAAATACACCTTGGAACTAACAGAGGTTTGAAGGACCCTAGACTTTCAAAAGTCATGAAATCAGTGAAGGTTTGAGACATCTTCAGTACATCTTTACTATAAGTCAGGAACACTTATAATAATTAGGTTAAATCATAAATCTATTTTCATTCTATTAAAGAAAAATATTTAGAATGGCATACAACATGTTTCCAGATGTTTTCTTAGTAGCAATGCTGCTATTTCCTTTCTTCTCTTTGACTTTCTATTTCCTGGTTTTTGTAAATAATGCACATGCTACACAATAAAACGACTTTTAAATACTGTTTTTAATTGCAGAAAAAGAAAAAGAAAATAGAAATCTTTCAAATAAATCCAACTTTCCTGGGTGACCCATTTAAATAAACAATTTGCTCTCCTAACCCTTCAACTTGATCAAATTTAGTGGGTGAATTATACAGAAATTTATTACACTATGTCCTTTTATAAGTAGCACATTAAAGCAATTTGTATTTTTATTTTTTTTTTTAAGATTTATTTATTTATTTATTTATACAAGCACTGGGTACAGTCAGAAGCGCGGGAGGGTGAGAGAATCCACCAGAGCCAGAGCGGGGAGCAGAGCAGGCAGAAAGACCGAAGTACACTGCTGAGGGGAGCAGCGGGCGGCAGGAGAGGTCTGCGCACCATGTGGGACCCTCCTCCGGTGGCCGGGGAGCAGCCGGGGATCGAACCAGCGCTGCAGAGGCTGCGGGCAGCTTCGCAACCCAGCGCTCAACCGCTGCACCACCGGGGAGGCCCAGCAATTTGTATTTTTAAAAGCCACAGTAGACTTTGAGGTCCTTAGATTTAACAATAAATGCTGATTAATGATTTCTTCCTCACTTGGAAACATCATGTTCTTTTTTTTTTAAAAGATTTATTTATTTATGCATACAAGGGCTGGGGTACAGGTCAGAGATGCCAGGGGTGAGAGGATTCACCAGAGAAGGAGTAGGGAACAGAATAGGCAGACTGACTGAAATACACTGCTGAGGGGAGCAGCAGGCGAGTCAGGAGAGGTCTGCTTTGCCATGTGGGTTTCTCTCTGGCCGGCCGGGGATCGAACTCATGCTGCAGAGGCTGCGGTGCTTAACCCCTTGCGCCACCAAAGAGGCCCAGAAACATCATATTCTTTATTCATCCTATCTTGCCCATGAGAACACCTAATATTTAGCCCTACAAGGATTTGGGATAAGACTCTTTATGGGGCCAATTTAGGAGATCTTCCAGGCTCATAGACTCTCTGGCAACAGAGGGCAGAAAGACATAGAAATGCACACATGCATGTACTTGCACAAGCACACACACTGATGATGCAGTCTTAATGTTACTTGTAGAAAAAGGAATGTTTTCTAATCAATGAGATGATGAAGAAGACAGTGCAGGTTAGGTATAGAATGCTCCGTCCATTGCACAGGCAATACATTATTATTAACCTCTTTTCACTTCAAAATTCAAAGGTCAATTTGTCAGTCCCAACCTGTTTATATTTCTTGAGTCCATGATTTACTTCAATGACACTCTAGTCAATAACCAGGACTCCTTTGTTACTCTTCTTTCAGTCATTTAATTCTGCAGGTATATCATAGCCCTGGATTAACCTGACTAACTGTCGTGGGCATTTCTGAATTTAGATGGAGGTGTTGCCAGTGGCATTACACAAAAGCACATAGTGATATAACTACACATTCCTGGTAATCAATCTTGATTAGTTTCACTGGCATTGTCCAGAGTTTACTGTACTGAATTGCTTATAGGAAAAGGTATAATACCCAAAAGCTTATTTTATATATATATCTCAGTGCCCCAGTTGTGATATAAAATTGCCGCGGACCAGCACAGCGATGGACGATGAGGCCGTCTCAGGGTTGAGAGACTGCGCAGGGTGGTCAGGGATTCGATGAATAAATGACACACAGACACACTTCAAGAGAGTGAAAATCTGAGTGCGTCTTTATTAAGTTAGTGGTCAGTATATATATGTTTTTCTAAAAGCATCAAAGAGATCAGTTTGCTCATAAATTTAGCTTAATTGACAGGGCAGTGATTTATGTCCGAAGTTACATCTAGCCTCATTCCTAATTGGATAGGCTATAAATTCTTTTTACTATTCTATATAATTATTTTCTAGTTGCACTAACTATCATAATTAATTGTCATGGGTGAATTTATTTTATAATGCAGTTAATATCAAAGGTACTAAAGTTAAGCACATAATAGAAAGATTATTAAACTAACAATTCTATTATAACACAGTGTTTAGTAATGTTTCATTTGCATTAGCCTAATTATTAAATTAGGTATGTTTTTTAATTAGCAATCAATGACCAGAAAAAGGAAAGTTTTTTAGAGAGACAGTTGTAGCAGAATAAAGTTTATGGGCCTTGAGAAAGCGAGATAAGGTTCCAAGTGGTCAGCATTTCTTTTAATCATCTTTGTGGCAGCTTCTGGTGGTCATTATTTCTTGACAGGCATTCGGCTTCTCTGCATCTTAAGGAGTTTGCTGTTCTCCCCCTGCGCGCATGGTTCCTTGCCCACGCCGGACCTCAGGGACCATGGTAACAGCCATTAGCCCTGAGGGTCACTGCAGGGGGAGGTGCAGCATAAAATGAATCTCTGTGATTCAAAAAGGATCTCTGTTTTGGTCTTAGACTTGAAAACGACTGAACGAAATTCAAATGAAAGTCTATTTTTCTTTCAAGAGTTGGCATGGCATAGATATCAAAGCCTGGGTGACAAAATCATTCATAAAGCTTCCTAACCCTATGTTTAATAGAAAATGTGTTGCTAAAGTCGCAGAGCCTCCAGAATAATTCTCCCTTGGCTTTCTCCAAGATATGACTATTGAGATCAATAGTCAAGGAAGCCTTTCCAGAGAACATAACAGAAAGAAAAAAAATTGAATAAAGTCTGTACACTTGCAAGGAGGAAACCCTGCTACTTCTGTCCATCAGATGATTTTTTTTAAAGATTTATTTATTTATTTATACAAGCACTGGGTACAGTCAGAAGCACAGGAGGGTAAGAGAATTCACCAGAGCCAGAGCTGAGAACAGAACAGGGAGACTGACGAAATACACTGCTGAGGGGAGCAGCGGCGGCAGGAGAGGTCTGCACGCCATGTGGGACCCTTGCCGGCGAGCAGGGATCAAAACAGCGCTGTAGAGGCTGCGGGCAGCTTCGCAGCCCAGCGCTCAACTGTTGTGCCACCAGGGGAGGCCCCATCAGGTGATATTTTATGCTGTGATTCTATCTTTTCTGCCCTTTTCAGAAATGAAGAGGGCAGAAATGAAATTTTGCTTGTAGTCATCTTATTATAACTCCACCAGTGTACATTGCTTATCTGTGAGTAATTAAATTTATATCGGACATGGAGATTAAAACTGGTTACCATCTGGACTGACTTGAGTGATCGATACAATACCCAGAGATCTCACAACACCCAGGCTTGGCTGAATGCAGTAAATAAAATAAGTTTCGTTATTTATTGCATATATTGCCTTATTCCTTCTTAGAAGGGATTTCATGTCTTCCCTGGTTTAGCTGGGGCAGACAGCCAAAGCAGAGAAATCACAGATTCTTCTCATCAGCAGTTTACAGTGACAGACTGGCACTAGGTATGATGGGAAGGAACATGTTGGTCTCTGAATTACATGTGGGGCTATAGTGGTTAACCTCAAATTTCCTGTGCCTGCCTACATGAGGCAAAACCCACAGTTCAGAAGTTTTGGGGGCACACTTCATATCATGCCCTCTGTTCTGGTTTAGTGCATAAGAACCCAGGTTCCTGAGGAAGGTGGCACAGTGTGCAATTCACTGGACGAACAACATTGGCTACCACCTCCTCTGGCCATGAGGCTACTCTTGATCATTGCAGTTCTGTTGCTCCAGAAGGCCACAGGTAATGCCAAGCTGTCCATTCAAATCAACAATGGGTTGAAGTATTTCTAAGAACCCAGAAGAATTTCATAATTCACAGTAGGAGATAGGGCCCTAAGGATGGCCAACATCCATCCAACATAATCAGAAAGTCTTTCACTGAAGCCTTCTGTCATGGTACTGCTCTTTGAAAGGAGAGTCTAAGTTCCCTCTGGGATGTAAGGAGAGTCATAGTTCCCTCCGGGATGGTCTCACTGTAGAAAGGAATGAGCCCAATGTCTAGGGATGCCCCAATTTTCTTTGGGTACGGTTTTACTCTGGCAACTAGTCATATCTTCTTCTACTCCTCTGCGTGTGTGTGTGTGTGTATGTGTGTGTGTGTGTAGTAGAAGTACGGACTTCAGAGTCAGGTTTGAGAACTTTGCCAACTTTGAATAAATGAGAAAGATTCTCTGAGCCTCAGTGTCCTCATTTGTGGAGAGTGGCATGGCTCTTGGGGACTTTATTAAATGATAAAATACTTATTAAACATCCAGCAGAGGGCTTGGCACCTACTAAGAACTTAAAAATTAGCTTTCTCTGCCCATTCAAAACCAGGTCTCTTACATTTGTCCCTTACTTTAGGAATAATAACCTGGGGTTGGAGGCAGCATTTTTATTATTAGTTTTTGTCCTCTGGGGTCCATTTCAGGGTATTGAACAAACCTGGAACATCCTCTTAGATCACTGGAATCCTGGATTACTAACTATCAAAGAAGGAAAGGTCTGAGAGTGAACATGGGAGGAAGCCTCACCTCTGGGGATGGAGGGAGAATGAGGGGCCATGAAGGAATAAAGCAATCCAAGACTTACTGGCTTTGGATGAAGTGACTCTGAAATATTTTGACAAGAAGTCAAAGGAAGATCTGCATTAGCAAAAGTGTACAATGCTAATAATTAATAGGGAAGAGAGAGCCTCCCCGGTGGCGCAGCAGGTTGAGTGCAGCGCTGTGAAGCTGTCCGCAGCTTCTGCAGCACGGATTAGATTCCTGGCCGGCCAGGGAGATACCCATATGGCGCGGCACACCTCTCCTGTCTCGCCCACTGCTCCCCTCAGCAGTGTTTTCGGTTGGTCTGCCTGTTCTGTTTCCGGCTCTGTCTCTGGTGAATCCTCTCACCCTCCCACACCTCTGGGCTGTACCCTATTTCTTGTATAAATAAATATATCTTTTAAAAAATAGGGAATGAAGATTATTCAGAGAAAAAATACCTGACTGGAAAAGTAGAAAGTCACTTTGACCATAGTGATGAGTCTGAAGTCAGGAGCATAGCTCAACCACACATTGATTCATAGAAACAAATTCTTATTCTCTGCACCTTAGAAGTAGGGCAGTGGTAAAGAAGGGGAGCTCTGGGAGTGTTCAATTAGTGGTAAGTTTGCTGAGGTTTCCAGATGGAGCACAGTGCCTCAACTTGGAAAAAAAGTATCCAACTCCTTCATTTTTCCAAAGAAAATCTGATGCTTTTGACAGAGTCCATCATGTGCTGGAGACCCAAAACTTAGAAGAGAAAATATGAGTGATCAGTTAGACATAAACATTGAGGTTTACCTTCTAGGAGAATCCTCGATAGGATATAGAGGTATATGTCCAGTGGCTCCCCCATATGCCTGATCCCTCTGTCTTCTTCCTGACCAAAGCTGCCTTTCAGTTTCAAACACTGATCTTGGCTTATTGTTCTTTTATGTGCACAGTAACTGAACAACTTAAGAAATGCTGGGGTGAATATATACAAGGACACTGCAGGAAAATTTGCAAAGTAACTGAAATACGTAGAGTGCTATGTGAAAATGGGAGATATTGTTGCCTCAATATCTTGGAATTGGAAGAACGTAAAAAAATTACGAAGCCACCTCGTCCAAAGCCACCGACATTTGCATACACATTTCCTCAAAATGAGTATATGTACACGGAAAGTAAGTTAAACACCATGACAAATTCTACATAAATCAAGTACAATTTTTTGTTCATTTCTTTTCAACCTCCTTCAAGAAACTAAGGTGAAGAGATTTACATCTTCTTCCTGTTGGTTCCTCCATCCCCAGAATGACCTTAAAGCAGATTCTAATAAAGCTCATTGCCAGTCTTCTGATTCATTTGTTGTTTCATCAGAAATTGAACATTCCATATGCCAAGTAATAAACTGATAAGGACAATTCAGGCCCGTTGAGAAGGAAATGTAACCACTGCACTAAAAAATCTATAACAAGGAACAAGAAACTCAGAAAAGTAGGGCCTCCCTGGTGGCGCAAGAGGTTAAGCACAGCACTATGAAGCTATCTGCAGCCTCTGCAGCACGAGTTCGATCCCCGAGCTACCCACATGGCACAGCAGACCTCTCCTGTCTTGCCCGCTGCTCCCCTCAGCAGTGTATTTCAGTCAGTCTGCCTGTTCTGCTCCCCACTCTGTCTCTGGTGAATCGTCTTTCTCACACACACCCCCTCACACCTCTGGCCTGTACCCCAGTTCTTGTATGCATAAATAAATAAATATTTTTTTAAAAAAGTGAAGCCTAGTGTTCAGAGAACATTCATGAGGGCCTTTAGGATTAAAGTGGTGCATTGTCAGATGCGTAAGATTTTAACAGGTGAGAGTTAGAAAAGGCAGTCTGTGTGAGCATAGTGAAATCAACAATGAAAGGAAATTGGGAAAGACAGGACTTTTCAGGAGAATCTACAAATACTTTGGTTTAAGAGTAGAGTTTCAGGGGGGGAGAGGTGGCGGGGAAAGGAGAAATTGGGGTCAAAATAAGGGGGTTGCAATTGTATGGGGAATATAAAAATAAAATTAAAAAAAAAAGAAATACTAATTTTTCTAGCTGTCACATTAAAAAGTGAAAAACATAAGGAAAAAAAAAAAAGAGTAAAGCTTCCAAAGTTGAACCATGGGGAAGTCCATTTTTTTTAGTACCTTTGTAAAAGCAGTGAGTTGGGAAAATAAAGAGGAAGAGGAGTAGTACTCCAGTACTGTGGAGCTCATTATATAAGGTGAAGGCAAACATTAATACTTGACTCTGAGACAGAGGTTTTTAGTTGCTTCTTTGTTGCTTTTCTTGTTGTTTTATGTGTTACCCTAATAATACATCCTTTTGAAGATTGGAGCCCTTTAAAGTCTGGAGAAAATGTAAAGAACCTCGGAATTGGTCTGAATTGCAGTGTAAGGTGAGGTTTTGTTGCTGTCTTGATATGCATGACATTAAACATGAAACATTTCTTTCCCAACTACATTCTTCCTTATATCATTTCACCACTGTAACATCTACCACTAACTCGTGGTATGCATTCTCTTAATTATCCTTTTATCTCCTGTTCTAGAACTAGGACAAGGAATGTACAAGATAAGCCTGAAGTGTCTTATAATGTCAGGAAGTAAGGAAATGCTTTAAAATTCAGCAGGATGGGGCTTGTTAACAGCATCCAGGAGTCACTTTGAAAGAGATTCTAATGGCCAAAGGTCATCTACTTCCTCTTCCCAAATCTAGTGACCTTGCTACCTTTGCTCTTTCCCCTCCTCCAGGGCCCTCTTAGAGGAAAAGCAGACTGTGTCTTCTCTGCCTGGGAATATGGTGTGACTGGGACTGAGGTAGCTCTCTGAAGCTGGAAAAATGCCCTGAGAAATACAGGGTTGTTTTTTTCTGGAACTGTAACCTAAGAGAAGTATCTCTTTTTTTTTTTCCCTCAAAAAGTGGGAAAAGGTATGGGGAATATAAAAATAAAATTGAAAAAAAAATAAAGCATTAAAAGAAAAAAAGGAGCAATGATGCAAAAAATAAATAATAATAAAAAAATTTTTAAAAAGGAAAAAAAAGTGGGAAAAGGACCTCCCTGATGGCGCAAGGGGTTAAGCACTGCACAATGAAGCAATCCACAGCCTCTGCAGCACGAGTTCAATCCCCGGCCGGCCAGGGAGAAACCCACATGGCGCAGCAGACCTCTCCTGTCTCACCCGCTGCTCCCCTCAGCAGTGTACTTTGGTCAGTCTGCTGTTCTGTTCCCTGTTCTGTCTCTAGTGAATCCTATCAAACCCCCCCATTTCTGGCCTATACCCCAGCTCTTGTATGCATAAATAAATAAATATTTTTTTAAAAAAATAAATAAATAAAAGTGGGAAAAGAGAGGTGTGTTGCAGTGTCTCCTCACTATAAACCTGTATCACAAAATTCAGAGTTTAATATATCATCCTAACGTGTGATTCAGAGCAAATCAACCAAGTAAAATACCATCATAAAATGGCTTTAATCGTGGTTTGTCTGAAGTACTTGGTTATCTCTAAACCCAGCTGTTGAAGTGATCTTAATTGTCCTGTCATTATCCTGGTGTTACCAATTAAATATTAGTAAAGAGCAAATCTTCTAGTTGTAACTCTTTGCTTGAGAAGTTGCCCTATGAACAGTTTGTTGTGTCTGGGTCACAGGAAATACAAGTCTGCTCAAACCCACTTCAGAAAAGGAGTACCTATTATAAGAACTGTTAGCAATCACAAGAGGCCTATTAGTCAGTTCTCTCTCTCTCTACCTCTCTCTCCATCCCTCCATATTTTCATATTCATGAGTGAACCAAGATCCAGTCTAGATGTCAAAAAGAATAGTTTCAGCCTCTCCTTCTACATCTGTCACTCACCCTGAGCAATTAACAGTAACCAAGATAACAGGCTATCTGACCCTCAACTCTCTTGCCAGGGCCCATAGAAACAGGCTCCCTGATTAAGGCTATGAGCAAATTTTCTAAGAAGGGGTGAATGTCAATAGGAAATGGCTAAATCTCTGCTACCTGAAATAGCTCAAGCAGGCATATGTTAGCTTCCATGGTGTGAAATCATCAATAAAAACAAGTATAAATTCTGCAATCTAGTCTAGTCCTGGCTTCCTACACACTGCTCCAGAATTCTCTGAAGCAACAAGCACTGAAATAAAGGTCCTTATAGTTTCTTAAAATGTTAACATATCAATTTAAATATTTGTCTCTGTCCTCCTGGTGAAACAGGATGGTGTGTAACTCATAGAAGGGGAATGCCCACTGATTTCCTCAGGCCAGATGAGTAAATCTTAGCTCCACAAAATTTATTTATAACCAATACTTTAACCAAGCAACATCAATGCATGTCACCAAAAAAAGTTTGTGTTCTGTCTGGAAAGCATTTCCTACCACAGTGACCTAACTGAAATTTATCTAGTTCATAAGGAGCTTCTCCATATGTCCCTGTCATGTATACAGCTTTAAATTTCACACTATTTTTTTTTTTTATTTCGGCTTTACTGTGGCAAGGTTGTTTCACAAAATTATAAGATTTAAAATTTACATTGCGAGGCCTCCCCGGGGGCGCAGCGGGTTGAGCGCTGTGATGTGAAGCTCTCCGCAGCCTCTGCAGCATGGGTTCAATCCCGGCCTGCTGGCAAGAATCCCACATGGTGCCACAGACCTCTCCTGCCGCGCCCGCTGCTCTCCTCAGCAGTATACTTCATCAGTCTGCCTGTTCTGTTCCCTGCTCTGTCTCTGGTGAATCCTCTTATCCTCCCACAACTCTGGCCTGTGCCCCAGCTCTTGTATAAAAATAAATAAATCTTTTAAAAAAATTAAAAAATAAAAAAATAAAATCTACATTGTGGGCCTCCCCCGTGGCACAGTGGGTTGAGCACAGCACTGTGAAGCTGTCCACAGCCTCTGCAGTGCAGATCCCTGACCTCTCCTGTCACGCCTGCTGCTCCCCTCAGCAGTGCTTTTGGTCTGTATGCCTGTTCTGCTCCCCGCTCTGTCTCTGGTGAATTCTCTCACCCTCCCACACCTCTGGCCTATACCCCAGCTATTGTATAAATAAAAAAAAAATCTTTAAAAAAATAAAATCTACACTGTGATGATTTCATATACATATATATGCATTGTGAGAAGAGGCCTGCCATCTAATTAATTAGCATATCCATCACCTCACATACTTATTTATTATTTGTGATTTTTCATTAAGGTAACATTGGTTTACAACACTGTATGTGATTCAGAAATATGCACTTCCACCTGTTCAGATGTATGTCAGCCACACCACACCCACCACTAAGGCACCCACAGTCCTTCAGCATAGTTCATTAGGAAGTCCCGCCTTTGCTCTCCATTCTCCCCCTTTCCCCACTCAGTGTTACAGTCAGATTTCTAGGGTTGGCTATTGGTTTGGCTTTTGTCTGACCTTTTGTTTTGTTTCTCTATTCCACATATGAGTGAAACCATCCAGTATTTGTCTTTTTCCTTTTGGTTTATTTCACTAAGCATAACCCCTCCAGTTACATTTATGTTGTTATAAATGGCAAGAGGTCATCATTTTTTATAGCTGAGTAGTACTCCAGAGAGAGAGAGAGAGAGAGAGAGAGAGAGAGAGAGAGAGAGAGAGTGTGTGTGTGTGTGTGTGTACCACATCCTAACCCATGCATCTGTCCTTGGGTACTTAAGTTGCTTTCATAACTTGACTATTGTAAATAGTGTTACAATGAACACAGGTGTGCATATATGCTTTTGAATTTGTGTTTTTGCATTCTTCAGGTAGATACCTAGGAGTGGGATTACTGGATCATATTGTAGATCTATTTTTAATATTTTGAAAAACCTCAATACTGTTTACCATCAGGCTATGCTCCTCCTCCTAACCTTTTTTTCTTTTTGGCTTTTTTTTAAATTTAAGATTTATTTATTTATGTATACAAGAGCTGGGGTACAGGCCAGAGATGCAGGGGGTGTGAGAGGATTCAACAGAGACAAAACTGGGAGCAGAACAGGCAGAAAGACTGAAATACACTGCTGAGGGTAGCAGCAGGCGAGACAGGAGAGGTCTGCTTTGCCATGTGTGTTTCTCTCTGGCCGGCCGGGGATCGAACTTGTGCTGCAGAGGCTGTGGATTGCTTCATAGTGTGGTGCTTAACCCCTTGCACCACCAGGGAGGCCCCTCCTCCTCACCTTTATGGACTGGAATTGACTTTGTAGAACTTACTGACATTGCAGTCTACGGGGACTTAAAACCTCAGAGAAGAGGGATATCAGCAGTGACACAAGCACACACCAGCCTTCTGTCCCCACTCCCACTAGTGTCTGGACCCCCCCAGATCCTTCCCTATCCCCTAATTTATCCACTTCAAGGTCAGGTCTTCAGACCTACAGAAGCTCAGCAAGGCTGGACATATAAAATGATAGAGGAGTTGGGAAAAGCTTTAGAACACCTGCTGGACTAGTAGAGGTCCTGCAGTTCTCTAAGTTACTGGTACAGTCACTTAAAAAAAAATAGGGAAATTATAAGCAGCAAAATGGGCAGATGGAAAAATAGGACACATGGCACTTCAGACCTCAAAGGAATATGTCATCACAAGAAGAGGAGAACCTTCCAGAATCGAATCACATAGACGGGAAGATTTTATCCTTCTATCAGATTCAGAGTTCAAAATCACCATTATATTTTTAAGGAAACATTTAAGTTCTACTTTCTTAGCAAATTGCAATTATATGATACAGTTCTGCCAACTATAGTCACCATGTCTTACATCAGATTTTATTCATCTTATAGCTGAACGTTTGTAAATTTCACACTAAATATGCAATGCCTCAACTTTCCTTACAGTAATATTTGTTCAAAAATTGTGTCAACTGGATGTTCAAATTGTTACCAAAAAAAAAAAGAGATTGAGCATGCACCTTAAATGAGTTTCAAATGATGTACTAGAATCATCACTAGCTGTCATTGCCACTTATTAGAACTGCCCCAATAAATGCTATGAAAATGTTCAACTACCTTACCTTTTTCTAATGAATCTGTAGCTGTTAGCAAAACCCTTTGTATTCATACATACAAAGCTGGGACAAGCCTCCCTGGAGGTGCAGTAGTTAAAGACACACAGCTATCAAGCTATCGTCAACCACTATAGCACAAGTTTGATGCCCGGCCAGGTAGACCTCTCCTGTCTCACCCGCTGCTCCCCTCAACAGTGTATTTCAGTCAATCCACCTGTTTTGTTCCCCACTCTGTCTCTGGTGAATCCTCTCACCCCCTGCACCTCTGGCCTGTATCCCAGTTCTTGTAAGCATAAATAAATAAATCTTTAAAAAATAATACATAAATCCGGGGAAAAGCATAGGACTTTATTGTATAGAAAAACAAGTTTACGGAAAGAAGTAGATACATCTCTTGCTCTAACCTTCTGATTAGGTGACACCTTTGATTTGAGAAGAGTGGAGACCAGTGGAGCAAGCACTCGCTTTATATCTGGATTGTAAAAATTGTAATGGTGGGCAAAACAATATAGTCCGCCTTCGTATCAAGTGGTACTGAAGCTTCAGACAACTCTGGAGATTCCGGGTATTTTTGGTTTTCTCTTTCATTAACACAACATAGTTTTCCATTTTGACAAGCTACTTCATATATTTCCCCCATTCCACATTTCTTCCTACAGAAGCCGCTTACTTTATTAAAGCATTTGCTGGGACGTGCCACATCTGTGCACAAAAAACAACATTGAACCCATGTTAGTTCCTGAGGTAGATGAGAAGAAATCTATGATTCCTCACAAGCTATGGCCTCCTGTAATTCCAAAGTGAATCTTATGCTGAACACAAATTTAGACAAGCACATGGAACACAGAGATGAGAGAGACAAAGATATGTACTCTCAATCTTAAATTTCAGAACCAGGGAGCATCTCTGAGGATCAGAGATTATTTTTAGGGCCACAGAAAAGTACTATGCTATTCTACAGGAGCAAAAGAGAATGGAACTCTCAGTGACAGAACTCTGACCATGAATTTGGTATATTTGTAAGTTCATATAATCCTCACATGAAATCATTATGAAATTAAGTCATTATACTTACTCAGATAAGAATATTTCTATTTAAAAATATTCTCGATTCATACAACTAATCAGTGATAGACACATATTTTAACCTCATATCTATAAGACCCCCAAAGCTTGCGCTGTTCTAATTACTATTGTAGCATAGACTGAACATGAATTTGAATGGAAAAAGAGGTGCCAGACACCTGGGTGTAAACTACATTCAACATAGTTTTGATGGGTTCATTCCTAACTTTGGAAAGAAGTTATAAGAGTATAACCTTGATCTCTTCTTAACTCCCTGTATGCTCTCTTCTAAGATACAGACAAAAGTTAGGCACCCAGGGAGTAGGTACTTTTGATGACATTGACAAGATATCAATAACCTTGGAGACCCTGACTCCACTCCTATGAACAGCATTATCTCCCAGGGTTTCATGGTACATGGGGACAAATTACCTGTGTGTATCTCAAACAGCAGAAAAATGAGAACCAGAAACAGCTTCATATTTATGGACTTCCCAAGAGCAATAGTCAACAGAATTTCTTTGTCCAGTGATCTGTCTCACACAGAGTTTCCCAAGATTAGTCAGAGTTTTGGGTGCTATTAACATGCTGAGCCTTATTTTAACCCACATGAATGGACAGGAAATTCAACTCCACCCCCACATACATCCCCAAATATAGAGTTCACAGTCATAGAACATTCCATCACATCACACCTACACAGTCATAAAACATTCTACCACATCACACCCCCTCATCCTTCATCTGGAGAGAGTAGGAACAGTTGCTTCTCTACTGGTGTTATCAACCCCTTTGAGTCAAAGTTGATCATATGTCCTGCTTTGCAGAGGACAGATCATATACAACAAACCCACAGCTTACATCATACTCAATCGTGTGGTACTACTGCTCCAATGTCCCATCCAATCAGTGCCACCTTTATTACAAAAGTAACCTAGTGTAGAAGATTAATTAAATAATTAATCATGGTAAACACAAAAGCACATGCAATATTTTTTTTTTAATTTATGAAACTTCCAGAAAATCATCTAGGAATGGCATTGCTTAGGTTTGTCTAGATAAACTTATTTCAGAATTTCCTATTAAGTCTTACCATACACTATGGCCCAATTCTATAATTGAAATCTTTCAAAATATCAATTTTCTTAGAACCTTATATATAAACCAAATAGTAACCTCAGAATGTAAAAAAAAAGAAAAACCCACTGGAAAAAAAAAGGAAGATGAAACAAATGGAATCCAAACACAACAGAAAAGGTAGTAATCAAAATATTCAGGAAAGAAAAAGAACAAAAGAACAGAGACAAAGTAGACCAAAAATTAAGAAAACAAATGGAAATAAATATTTTTGTATCAATAATTTCCCTAAACATCACCACCATCTTTTTTTTTTAGAATTCTCTATGACCTTTTTTATTTTTTTATTTAAATTTTATTTTTATATTCCCCATACAATTATAACCCCCTTATTTGACCCCAATCCCTCCTTTACCCGCCCCCCAACCCCACAGAGTATCTCTGGTTCATAGTTGTTTGTTGATTTTGATATTTTCTTTCTTATAGTTATTCTTTTTCCTGGTCCCTTATTTAAGTTTTCTAGATTCCTGCTATGAGTGAGACCATCCGGTATTTTTCTTTTTCTTTCTGGCTTATTTCCCTGAGCATGATCCCTTCCAGCTCCATCCATGTTGCTGCAAATGGCATGTGTTTATCTTTTTTGAATGCTGAGTAATATTCCATGGTATATATGTACCACATCTTCTTGATCCAGTCATCTATTTTTGGGCATTTGGGTTGTTTCCAAAGCTTAGCTATTGTAAACAGTGCTGCTATAAATATAGGGGTGCAGGTGCTCTTTGGAATTGATGTTTCTGTGTCCTTTGGATAAATACCTAGGAGTAGAATTGCTGGATCATATGGAAGCTCTATGTTTAGTAGGCCAAGAAATCTCCACACAGCTCTCCATAGTGGTTGGACCAGTTTGCACTTCCACCAACAGTACAGGAGAGTTCCTTTTTCTCCACAACCTCGCCAACATTTGTTGTTGCTAGTTTTTGGGTTTTTTAATTAATTAATTTTATTTATACAAGCACTGGGTACAGTCAGAAGTGCGGGAGGGTGAGAGAATTCACCAGAGCCAGAGTGGGGAGCAGAGCAGGCAGAAGGACTGAAGTACACTGCTGAGGGGAGCAGCAGGCGGCAGGACAGGTCTGCGCGCCATGCGGGACCCTCCTCCAGTGGCCGGGGAGCAGCCGGGGATCGAACCAGCGCCGCAGAGGCTGCGGGCAGCTTCGCAACCCAGCACTTAACTGCTGCGCCACAGGGGAGGCCCAGTTTTTTTAATATGTGCCATTCTCACTGGTGTAAGATGCTATCTCATTGTGGTTTTGATTTGCATTTCCCTGATTACAAGTGATGTTGAACATTTTTTCATATGCCTGTTGGCCATTTGCATTTCCTCTTCAGAGAAGTTTCTTTTTAACTCTTCTGACCATTTTTTGACTGGATTATTTTCTTTGTTTTTGGGGTCTCATCAGCTCTTTGTAGATTTTTGTGATCAGTCCTTTATCATTAGTGTTGTGTGCAAAAATGTTCTCCCAGTCGGTACAGTTTCACTTTGTTTTGGTTATTGTCTCTTTTGCTGTGCAGAAGCTCTTTAATTTGAACATCACCATCTTGAATTCACCAATCAAAAAGCACTAAGTGACTGGTGGGATGATAAAATAAAACCAAAATTTCTGTTGTCTCCAGGAGACCCAGCTGACCTCCAAAGATAAACATAAGCTCAAAGTTAAAGGTTAAAAAGTAATCCCACAAGCAGGGCCTCCCCGGTGGCGCAGCAATTGAGCGCTGGCTTGCGAAGCTGCCCGCGGCCTCTGCGGCGCCGGTTTGATCCCCAGCTGCTCCCTGACTGTACCCAGTGCATGTATTAAAAAAAAACAAAAACAAACAAACAAACAAATAAATAAAAAACATGCCTCTATAAAAAAAAAATAAAAAAAATAATCCCACAAGCAAATAGTACCCTAAAAAGGGCCGACATAACCATACCTAGATCTGACAAAATGGATTTCCAGCTAAGAATGGTAACAAAGGACAGAACCATTATTAAATGATTAAGGGATCAATACATCAGAAAGATAACTCTCATAAATGTGTATGCACCAAACAAAGGAGGATCAACATATTAATCAACTGTTAACAAACCTAGAAAGACACATCAACAGCAACACAATAGTAGTAAGAGACTTCAATACCCTCTTAAAACCTTGAGGCCAACCAGACAGAAAATCAATAAAGAAACAATAACCTTAAGTGAGGAATTAGACCATGTGGGCTTAGTAGGAATTTATAAGGCGCTCCTCACCAAAAAAAAAAAAATGAGTATACATTCTTCTCAAGTGTACATGGAACAGTTTCAAGGATAAACTACACATTGAGTCACAAAACAAGTGTCAATAAATTAAGATGGAAATCACATCAAATATCTTCTATGATTACAATGGTATAAAAGTAGAGCCCAAACACAAAAAGAAAGTGGGAAAAAATCTCAATTATGTGGAGAAAAACACCTAAAATGTGTTACAAATATGCAGAGATTAAACAACATGCTACTGCATGATTGTTAAGTTAATGAAGAAATCAAAGAGAAATTCAAAAATAATTGGAGAAAAAAAACAAAAAATAGAGGATATATTTTGATGCAACAATAGCAGTAACAAGAGGGAAATTTATAGCAATGCAGGTCTATATAAAGAAACCAAAAAATCTAACTTTATACCTCCAACAACTAGAAATAGACAAACAAATGAAACCAAAAGGGACTAAAACAACAAAAATTACAGTAGAACTAAATGAGATACCACAACATAGTAAAGACCATATATGACATACCTACAACTTATTTTATACTCAATAACAGAAAACTAAAAATGTTTCCTTTAGGATCAGGTACAAGGCAAGATGTCCACTCTCACCACTACTATTTAATGTGATCCTGGAATTCCTATCTAGAACAATTAGACAAGAGAAAGAAATAAAAGAAGTCCAAGATAGAAAAGACGTAAAGGCATCACTATTTGTAGATGACATATTTCTCAAAATTTTAAAAATAGGGCCTCCCCGGTGGCGCAGCGGTTGAGCGCTGGGTTGCGAAGCTGCCCGCAGTCTACGCGGCGCCAGTTCCATCCCCGGTTGCTCCCCGGCCACCGGAGGAGGGTCCCACATGGTGCGCAGACCTCTCCTGCCGCCCGCTGCTCCCCTCAGCAGTGTACTTCGGTCCTTCTGCCTGCTCTGCTCCCCGCTCTGGCTCTGGTGAATTCTCTCGCCCTCCCGCGCTTCTGACTGTACCCAGTGCTTGTATGTATAAACAAACAAACAAATAAATGGATAAATCTTTAAAAAAAAAAAAAAATTTTAAAAATAGCTATCTACCATATGATCTAATAATCCTACTCCTAGATATCTACCCAAAGAACACAAAAACACTAATCCAAAGGGATGTATGCATTCATGTTCTCTGCATCCCTGGTTATAACAGCTGAGCTATGGAAACAATCTAAGTGTCCAAGGGCCGATGGGTAGATCAAGAAGTTTTGCTATGTTTACACAATGGAAAACTACTCAGTTATAAGAAAAGATTAAATCTTGTCATTTACAACATTTATAGAACTTAAGGAAACTGTGCTAAACACAAGATGACATTCTTACATCCTGAAAGTAATATTGCCTGCCTACTTCTAAAGATTCCAAGGTCTATTTGTTAATTTGTGTCAACTCTGTAATAGCAGAGACCTTAATGCAATCCTTGGGTTGTGTACATGAAGTACACAATCTCCACATTTTCAAAGCCCTTTGGAAACATGCAATAGATTTCCCATTGAGCAGGCTGGGATGGATAATGAAATGTTGCTTTTAAATCATAGTCTGTTAAAAAAAAAAAGTCATCCAATAACATTTGTTATTGTACCTCCCTCTGTGATTCAAAGTAGTACAAACTATTTTCTTTTTTTTTAATTTTTAAAAAGATTTTATTTTTATTTATATAAGAACTGGAGTACAGGCCAGAGGCATGGGAGGGTGAAAGAATTCACCAGAGCCTGAGCAGGGAACAGAACAGGCAGATGGACTGAAAACACTGCTGAGGGGAGCAGCGGGTAAGATAGGAGAGGTCTGCTACATCATGTGAGTATCTCCCTGGCCGGCCAGGAATCGAACCTGCGCTGTAGAGGCTGCGACAGCTTCACAGTGCTACGCTCAACCCTCTACACCACCAGGGAGGCCCAAACTGTTTTCAATACAATATTTATAAATGAACTAGAAATAATTTCTGAATTCTACTTAAGAGGTTATCTTTCCAGGCCTTCCTGGTGGCGCAAGGGGTTAAGACACAGCCTATGAAGCTATCCGCAGCCACTGTAGCACGAGTTCGATCACCAATCAGGGAGCTACCCACATGGCACAGCAGACCTCTCCTGTCTT